CATAAGAGTGCTGGCCGGAGATCGATCTTGCATTAGATTAGTGTGTGACAATCGTCTGGTCGGGTTTAGCGACCACGAGATGGAACCAAGTCAATTGATGGCACTACTTCTACTATCTACTTATATGTCCTGTGTATAGAACTACTTGTGTAAATGTATGTGTTTTCTTTTGAATAAAGACACAAAAAATACCTCATATCTTTATATTCATCAAGAAGTAAAACAGTGACTAACTAACTAACTAACTAACTGCGAACTGGTCATAGATTAGTTGGTTGGCTCCTTGTGGTGGAATCTGTCCACCTGGGTTCAAGTCCTCGACTTGGCTTGGGTGCTCGCATTTTCCTGAATTTGTTCTTCGGATGTGCTCATAGGGGTAAGGTTTACGACGTGTATTCATAGGGGTGAGTGTGCGTGCGTGTTGGGCGTAATTCTAAAAAAAACTAACTAACTATAACTAACTAAAAAGTCTGTCATCTGTGTATAAGATATACACTAGCTCCATCTGATTATACAAACATGTCGTTTAGATCAAGGTTAGTCAAACCTTATAAAAAGCAAAATCATAAATAACTTTCAAATTATTCAGTTCATGTACGTTACATGTAATTTATATTGAAAAACATTTGCAAAGTCTTAAAGATTTGGAGGATTTTAAACACATGTTCTAGGATATATTAACAGTCAAAGATATGCATCGAGTGAAAACTATGCAAATTAAATATGTGAGTACTTTTTTTGGCCAGAGGTAATAATGTTAAAGATATGCATCGAAGCCTAATATGCATTTTCGAACACTATGCTTTATATATGACGATCGACAACATAAACAATGTGTCAAAATAGTTGTGTTTCATTTACTAATCGAATTATGCAAATTTTACATAGCAAGTTTTTTTTTAAAAAACATAAAAGTAGCTGCTGGACTATAAAGACCAACCACACTTTTTTATTTTACTAAAAGTTTGTGTATGTTCAAATCTCTTAGCAAACTCTCCCTTCAGGCACAGACTATCTAAATATGTTCTTAGTGCCGGACCATTTTGTTTAAATTTTTTTAAAAAAGAATAGTCTTTATTTCAGCCTCTCATATGCACCCAATTAAACAAAATTGCAAGTTTTAGGCTCTGGTTACAAAGTAAAAACTACCAGATAGCAAACACATGTTTTTTAGCACGAAGCACAAGGTCTTGTTTAGTTCCTCCTCTAAAGTTTACTTCCTATCACATTGGATGTTTGGACACATACATGGAGTATTAAATGTAGACTAAAAAATAATTAATTACATAGATTGCGAGTAATTTGCAAGACGAATTTTTTAAGCCTAAGTAATCCATGATTTGACAATGTGGTGCTATAGTAAATATGCGCTAATGACGAATTAATTAGGCTTAATAAATTCGTCTTGTGGATTCCTAAGGACTTATGTAATTTGTTTTATTATTACTATCCGAACACTCACATGTGACACCCCGATGTGATATCCGATGTGACATCCCTAAACTTTACTTCCTGCATTTAGGCCATGTTTAGTTTCTCCCCCTAAAGTTTACTCCCTATCACATCGGATGTTTGACACATGCATATAGTATTAAATATAGACTAAAAAATAACTAATTGCACATATTGTGACTAATTTGCGAGACAAATTTTTTAAGCCTAATTAGTCCATGATTTGATAATGTGGTGCTACAGTACATGTGCTAATGATGAATTAATTAGACTTAATAAATTCGTCTAGTGGATGACTGATGACTATTGTAATTTATTTTATTTTACTATCCGAATACCTCGATGTGACACCTAATATGATATGACATCCCTAAATTTTACTTCATGAATTTAAACACCACCTATATAGCAAAAGCTAAGCACGAAACCTTTTAAAAGAAAATCGCCCCTGATTGGTGAAAATGTCCATGGCCACCGTTTTCAACGTATCCATGCACACTTCATAATGGTCAAAAAGCGAAGCTGGTAAAAATATTTGGATATAAAAATATTTTCTATTAAGTACACCATTATTTTCTACTCAGCCAAATAATCCAGCCTATTGCACTCGCACCGCTTGGGACTTGGGAGCATGGCCGAGGTGAACGCCGAACCAGCAGCAGGCACATAAAAAGAAAAACAAAGTAATTAACAAGAGCACGTTTTTTTTTTGAAAAAACAAGAGGACGGTTTGTGAGAGCTGAAACCGGAGGATGATGGTGGGAGCAGGGGACAGGGGAGTGTTAAGTGTGTAACAGCGGCAACACCTTACGAACTCCTGTCATTAGAAGCACAGGGAGTACTAACAGTAAAATAGTAATGGTATCCTGTAAAGTACTTGCGTGCATTAATGTACAAATGAAATGATATGAGACTGCGTTAGTTAGTTAGGTTCTTCGCTATGGGACTTATTAGTTCGGATTTGGTTCTCCTACTCAATGTAGGTACTTGTGTGTCAGCTAATTATTTCTTTAATGATAGGTGATTTGCTCATCAATAATAGCATACCTATGGTGGTTTTGTTAATTTTTAGTCCTGCCAATCTGATTTAGGGTATGTTTGGCTGCTTGTTTAGGCAAGATTGTCTACTCGGAAATGCTGCGATGCGGACGTTGGCATGCTCCTCTCTACCTTCATTCTTTTATGGTTTCTCAAAAAAAAAAAGACAGCGGCATTTTCCAACTCACACGGCCGTCGCGGCATTCCCCACCACTCGCCCGCCGCTCGCCTTCTCTGGCCGCGACCAACTCCACTTCCTCCACCCCGGGACCTTCGCCCGCCTCCGCAACGCTAGGCTCCTTTGTTGGAGTCGCACCTGCCGCCCGCCCCTGCTCTCATCGCCGGAGCCGGCGTCCTCCTCGTCACCTCCTCCTATAGCTGGAGACGGCGAGGGCGTCACGGTCGTGTCGTACTTCGCGCCAGCCTTGAGGCTCCTCGCGCCAAGGTGCCCCAGCAAAAGAAGCTCACGGCAGCTAAGTCCGTGGTGCTCTTCACTCCACCACTTCCCAGCCCCGATCTTCCCATCGAGGCAGTTATCGAGTTCCTCAACGCGCCCGACATGGTCTTTGTCACCCACTAGAGTGTTGCGCATGACATGTTGTAAGAGTATGTTTCAAGTGTTTCAGATGTTCCAAAGGTATGTTGCAAGTGTTTCATATGGATGTTGCAAAAGTAGACCAGGATGTTGCATACTCCATGTTGCAATGGCTATACACGTATGTTACAAACGTCTGTTCCATATGTTTTATCAGTTTTTTCAGACGTAAATTGCAAGTGTGTTTATCTGAATGTTGCATATGCTTCACACATATGTTTGCAAATGTTTCATCTTGATGTTGCACATGCTTGCAATGGCGTTGAAGTGTTTTGCAAGTGTTTCATACGTATGTTGCAAGTGTTTCATACATATGTTGTAAAAGTAGATCGAGTGTTGTAAAAGTAGATCGAGTGTTGCACATGATGCAATGCGCGTGAGAAGCGGAGGGGACGCGAGCGACGTCCGGACGATGTGGGCTCCACGTGGATGCGTGAAACGCAAGCGCAGGTGGCGGCGTGCTGCCGTGAACGCGGGCGTGGAGTGCAGGCGCAAGCGCGGGAGTACGAGCACTGACGTCCGCCTGGACGTCCGGGCGCTAGCACTATCGTTATCTATTTACCCGGCAGCAATATATCTAAACCAACAATTTCAAGGGTAAAGTGATCAAGATTACTGTCTAGTAGAGAAGCTTACCTGCTAGATGATGAATCAAATAGATCCTTAAGCTCTGTTTGCTTGAACTTATCAGTAATACCGTTTCAGTAAAATAACAGTGTTTTTCTTTTATAACAAATCAGCATCAACATCAACATCAACATCAACATCAACATCAACATCAACATCAACATCAACATCAGTATCAACCGTTTTTTCAGCCAGCTGAACAGAGCCTTAGCCTACCACAAGTCACAAATGCACTCGTGAGGTTTAGGGTGTGTGCTTTCGTTGTAGATAATTTGCGAATGTATTCTTAGCGTCTGAATGTACTTTCTCTTTTGTATGTGTGTGGGTGTTGGTCGTACAGATCTCTACTACGTACTGTGCTTCAGCCTTCAGCTGAACTGTGTCAGCACTCAGCAGCATCCAACAGTAACCCGGGGCGAAGCGTAAAGGCTGGGTATTTGAGGCTTAAATAAAAGGCCGGCCTAGTTCGCAGAAGTAGGCCTTTGCTATTTTATTTCGTTGGGTCCATTCATGACCTTTAAACCACACCTAAAAGAACCGGAAATATGTCCCTAGGAAAACCTAAAATATCATGGTTATATTCTTGCCCACCCTGCTTAAAAGTATAATTATTATTTTATTTAGCTTTCCGATTTTGTTCATGCTTTGTTTAAAACGAAGGTAGAGTTTACCCTGTTTCTAAAGTTCAGAGGAGTTGATAGTTTTCATAGAATCAGGCTAACAGTGTAAAGAGAACGACTTCTCCATAGAATCATGCTCATAGTGTAAAGGAACTGATTCTGTCATCACATTTATTACATAAGAACAGCTTAGCCGTGGGATGTGTCTGTTCTCCGAAACAGCTATATATATATATATAGTTAATTTGTCCAAAATAAGTTCACATCTCGCTTTTCTTTTGAGGAATCAATTTTTTAGAGTTAATTAGATATAAAAAATAGTATCAATATTTGTATCTCTAAATAAATTTATTATAAGCTATATTCTTTGATCAATCTAATCTAATGATAAATGCTAATAGTTTTTATATATTTGTCTAAACTAAAAAAGTTTGTCATCTTGAGATTGAGATGTGCCGAACCAGCTAACTATTTTATTTATATAGATTAAAAACTGTTTATCTATATAGTGCTCATTATATTACACAATACGTGAAGAGATCTACTCCTACCTCGCAAGAAAGATTTTAACCGTGAAAACTGCAGAGTGGTGAGTGGTTAGTAGAGTGGCTATTAGCCTAGAGTACTTTAACTTTATAAATACACGGAAGGAGATCAATTCAGTCCGTCTAGATGCCGCCTCTGAAGAACGGGTCGCCGAGGAAGGAGGCGGAGTAGGTGCCGCCGCCGTTGGGGAAGAGCGTGAGGAGGCAGACCAGGGCGAGCACGAACCCCCACGCGAAGCGGTCGTTGCCGAGCGGTGTGATCTCGTCCTGCGCTGGGATCTCCTCCCCGCCGCGGATGAAGGTGGCGAAGAGGCCCCACGCCAGGCACAGCACGCTGCCGCTGATGGCGCCCACGCCCAGCAGGACGGACGTGCCGAACGACAGCAGCGCCGCCGTGCCGCGCCCGAACAGCGCCTGCGCGATGCGCCCGCCCTCCAGCCGCCCGATCGGGAGCAGGTTCAGCGACGTCACCACGATGCCCAGGAGCCCCGCGAACGCCAGCGGGTCCACGGGCACGCCCACGCCCTCCACCGCGTTCGGGAGCACGTTCCCGAGCTCGTCGGCGTAGGGGCCGATCACCAGCTGCACGAACGACAGCAGCGGGTTGTTGTAGAAGAATTCCGGCCGCACGAACCTGAACGCCACCATTGCAGTTGCAATCAGTGTCAGTGTCAGTCAGAACGGGTGTCACGAACGAACAGAAGATACGAGAGATGATGGTTGCATGCAGGAACTCACAGGGCGTTCTCGCCGCCGTTGAAGCTGCCGTCGGCGATGAACGCCGAGACGGCCAGCACCACCGACGTGATGTACGCACTGGCCGTGCGCGCGACTGGTATGTCGAACAGGGCCTTCTTGTTGGGCAGCAACGACTCGTAGTTGTTCATCACGCCGAGGCACCCTGTCCAGTTGGACGGCACGAGGAACGACGGGCTCAGCTTCACGCCGTACTTCGCCGCCGTCAGCCTCGTCGCGATCTGCCATCACATGATCATCATCAGCAGAGCACCACAAACGCAGCGAAAACATTCACAAGCAGCAGTGCACAGTAGGCCGGAGATTGTTGTGCCGCCGCTCGTACCTCAGAGACGCCGAGTATAGTGAGGAAGCCGCCGAACAGAGGAAGCACGTCAGAGACGTAGTCGTCGAACGTGGCGCCGGGCTTGAGGAAGAAACCGCTCATGAGTGCAATCGTCCCGAAGGTCGTGACCGCCAACGCCACGGCGCTGAGGTATCCCCACGGCGTGCTCAGCTTGGTGATCTCGAGCAGGAGGTCGATCTCTGCCTTGGGCTGGACCATACACACCTGCTTTGTGATGTTGCCGTTCTTCTCCTCCATGAACCAGAGGGTGACCTCTGTTCCGGCGGCCTCGGAGATCTTCTTCTCCAGCTTAAGGCGCACCTCCTTAACGGGTTTACGCAGGTTCCCGATGAAGATCCCGCCGTCGCCGAATCTCCGGACGTCCACCGCGAAGAACGTGTCGTACCCGAAACAGCTCTTCAGCTGCACGCGGCACGGCAGTACCAATCGCCCAAGCTCAGATCTTTGTCCCATCTGATACTCAAAATCAAGCAGACCGAATTCAGGAGGGTAAGCAATTACCTTGTTGAGGTCGAGCGCCTTGAAGGTCTGCTCCGCCAGCTCCAGCCTCTGCTTCTCCCGGGCCAGCTGGTCCTTTGCCAAGCCCCGGAACAGGCCGGCGACGGGGTTGGCGTCGGGCTCGCGGTCCAGCTCGCGGAGCTTCCTGTCGGCGCGCTTCTTCTCCAATTTGATGGCGGCCTCGATGGAGGGATTGCCCATGAACTTCTTGAACTCCTCGTCTGACTTCCAGTCCACCTCCTGCTGCTCGTCCGTGCTCCTCTTCTCCTCGCCGTCGCCTTCTCCTTGGCCTCTCTTATCTGCCTCTCCAACATGACCCGACGCCTTGGCCTCATCCACCCCTCCGACATGATGCGACGCCGTCGCCTCCTCCTGTTGCTCGCTGGAGGCCACGGAGACGGAGGACGCCGTGCCCTCCCTCTCCTCTTGCTCCTGCTGCAACGATCGCCTAACTACTGAATTACTCCTAAGAGGCCGAAGAGGCGGTCTGTATTGGTTCTTGGAGAAAAGAGGGATCCTGATTACTCTTGGCATGGCTGCGCTTCTACTAGTAGAAGCACTGCTGCTGCGCAAGAGAGAAGATGCAAGAGAGGCAGACGCCATTGGGGGCGAGCTGCAGCCTGCGGAGCTTGACAGTTCTGTGCTTGTTCTACTTCTATTGTTTTGCTATGAGCTATGAGGTCAGACCCCATGGGAGAGCTTAAAAAGGTTTGGTATGGAACGGTGGAGTGGAGTGAAGAAGGAAGGTGAGGGTTCTAGAAGGTTTGAGAAGGCGCGCGCTGGGCCGGAGGAGTCGTGAAGAATGCGACGGTCGGAGGTGGCTGATCTGTGATTCTGTGCAGCGTGTAGTGTCCGAGTGGCGACGACGGAGTTGAGACCAAGGTGAGGCCCCGGCTTATCCAACTGCCCGGGGAAGATGTACACTTGGCGGCAGCTGGGCACGCTGCCTTGGAGCTTACTGTGTGTGGGTCCTGCCAGCCTGAAAGGCTTCCTCAGTTTCATGTCATCAGCTCCTATCGAGTGCTCCCCCATTTTTTGACCCATCCTTGGGGTGGAGAAACAGCAGCAAAAGTGTATTCCGACTACTTCTGCCAAATACTCGGTTCGTTCTAAATTATGATATGCGTTGGCTTTTCTAGATATATTAGTTTTAATATATACCTAGATGTAGTGTATATTTAAGTACATAGCAAAAGCTATATATTTAAAAAAAATTAAAACATCTTATAATTTAGACTCAAGAGAGTAGTAAATTTTGATATTGTCATGACAACCCTTTAGATGTTGATTTTTAAAACCTACTGTACAACTCAAGGAAGTGTGATAATTCATCAATTTATTTTTTGAAAATTTACTAGAATTTCATTAGTTTTTTGTGAACTCCAGAACTTCTAGAATTTTTTTTGGAACTTCCAAACACCTCTAGAAGTCGTAACCTTTGGACTTTGCTAATCTGATGCTTAGAAGATTGAAAGAAATTTCAGATCCTAGGGCTTGATTGGTTAACTTCCTAAATATGCCAAGAATTTGGCAAGCCATAATTTTGGCTATTGATTGGTTTGCTACTAAATCTTGCCAACCTCTCATATTTAGCTTGCCAAATTCATGGCAAATTTTTTACCTAATTTTGGTTTGCCAAATCTTTGGCATGACAAATTTTGTGCCCTTAGCCTATTCAAACACCTTCCCCTCTCTAAAGCTTACTGATCCTTTCATTTTTTCTATAAAACATAATACATCCAATATACTGGCATTGATGATTAGAGTCTATAAAATTAAAGGATATATTTTATGATTATTGTGAGAATTTTTAAAATTTACCTTTTTTTCCTAGTGCATCTCGTGATGATCAATGTTGAGGCTCCTTTAGAAACTAGAGTTAGTATTAATAAGATTGTTATTCATAACATGTGGTTCTTTATTATCCACCTTGCAATGCAGTCAACTCTAATCCACTCTTTTTCCATGCTAAATCCGACGTGTTCCGTTCAATTTCTATTTAACTTCAAAACAAAAAAGGGAATATAATCAATAGTATAATTAATGTGGGTGTTAATAACAGTTACAATTAAACACTAGCAATATAGTGTTAATTCGCCTTTCTCTACCTGTTGCCCCATCTTTGTTTTTTCTGAAATATACAATACAACCACAAGCGTACGGACATATACACTTATACCTACAAACGGTTCAAATCGATAGATTTCGAGATCGACAAAATCACCATAGACGCCTTGCTGTTGATTGACACGTGGCCTACCAAAAAAAAAGCACCATTAAATATTAAAATAAATTCAGAAAAATACAAGAACAAGAACCCAAAATCGAATAAAGAACTGAGTGGGCAAGCTCTGCCATAAAGATAAAAGAATCTAACCATTTGATTTAGGCTCAATTTGCCTATCGGCCATGGTACAGTGCTTTTCTCTCACAACAAATCAGCATCAGTCAGCTTATCAGCCACATAAACCAACTGACGATCAGCTCAATACGGCCAATGGACCGGGCTCAATGGCACGGCAACACACGCTATTTTCTAGTTGAGTCGATAGCAATGCAAAGTGCTGGCAAGAGGCAACGGTTTTATTGATTTGGATAAGTTAAGCTACAGATACAATTTTACAAGTGGACCAGGTATATGAGTACATCTTATGAATAAGATACTAAGCCAGCATTGCAGGCGTGTTATTGCCAAACATTTTTTTTGGTTCGGCAAATGCTCCCAACTAGGTTTTAGTCTGCTCTTCTTCACCTTCAAAATTGTACTTACACACAGGTGGATGAACCTGGTGATGCAGATACCGGATAGGAACAATGCCCTTTTGTACCTTCAGCCTTCAGACGTCACCACCTCCGCACCAGTGATGTGAGTAACTGCAAGACACCAGCTAAATGAGAAACAGCTCACAGGAACGAGGAAAACTGCTTACTGAAGAACAAAGAAACACAAAGCCTGTACATATCACATTTAATTAGGTCATAAACAATAACCAACATCGTTCAGTTTTTATCCTATTAGTTTAAGAGCTGTTCCAAGTTCCTGCCTTGTGGCAAACATGAGTTCTCCATTCACATCACATATGAATCATAATCTAGCAATGGTTTCTCTTGCATATAATGTCAACTCATTTTGTAATAAATGATAAGGAATACAATCCAGCCTATCATCTTCTCCTAGTCCTGACCCTATTGCAAATATGAGCTTCGAAGTTTTGATAATAATGTTGGGATGGGTTGAGGGAAAAGGAAGGGCATCCAATGATCCAAATGGCAAGCAGCTAATAGTCTAAGAGTTCGGTACAAAAAATTTTGTGTTATAATGATGAAAGAAATAAATTGCAATCTCCATGTCATTTTATTGTTTGAACAATGAGAGCACATAAACCTTAAAAACAACATGCAACTGCATACATTTGTAATTGCCTGCTATGTCTGGAATTGTATCTAGTTACAGGTTTACAGCACAACAAAAGAGATCTCAAACTTTCTTCAAGCGAAAACTAGATACCGTTGGTCAAATATATCATATATGTGCCAACAGTGCCTATGTTTGATGTTTCATAACAGATTCAGAATATTACAGTGGCAAAATTTTCAGTGAATCTTTTTCAGTTCGTGAAACTACTGACCTCAAAAAGCTCAAAAGGACTTCCACGCCGGTAGACATCATCCTGCTGCTTTTGCTGGTTGGAAAGAAGTTGGGATACCAAGGCACGCCATGCAGTTAACAAGACCCCTGTACTTCCCATGGTTACCAAGATAAAAGGAGTTGGTGGAAGATGACCAGACGTCACTGCTCGGATGGCAAGTCCCAACTAACACGAGAAAGAGAATCATTAAACATCAGACATTATACATCAGAAAACACACCAACTCTAGTTAATGAGATATGAAAATGTTGTAAAGTTCAGAACATAAGTAAATGCAGTGGTACATTTAGATGAATGTACAAGACCACATGGGAAAAACAGTGGTGCCTGCTTTTAATAAAAAAAAACTGCGACAGTTAATCACTTTAACTTTTATGCAAGATCTCCAAGAAAAGCATAGTTTTCTTGCTACTCAAATCACTATGTTGAAGGGCTGAAGCATGTTAATTGCAATTTAACAGTATTGTATGTCCGACACTACACAAATGAAACAACCACTGGTTAGGCCTTGAGTAATGGATTTGCTCCTGTCTAATTATCATGGAAAAATGACTTTGCTCCAAATACTAGAGTAAATCACCTAGTAGTGTAGCTAGGAGACAGGCAATAGTCTGTTTGGATCACTTGTTCAACTAATTAAAAGCATCTAGATTTGTTTAGCAAGATTTGTCTACGAAATTCACACATTTCCTAGAGCTGGGTATTTGTAGCTTCAGAAAACCTTGGATCTGGAGCAGGAGGCATGTTGGTTGCAATTACATGACAGATGACTCGTTTCGTTTATAGTTTGGACTAAATATAAATATTCAAACCACTTTAATTTAGTCTACAAACTGCAGATCCAACATCCAAAGCTGGAGCTATGCCAAACGGGCCCTTAGTGATGCCTACAAAACCTTATTAAGAGGAGGTTTCTTATCAATAAGGCATTCAAGCATGTCGAAAACTTAGTTGGCCATCCCCCAAGAGATTCATATGTGGTGGAAACAGACAAGAGAACCAAATAGCCAAATACCTAGATCAAATAATTGCACGAATATATGAGACGCAGAAATAACTGTAGTTTGTAATGTACAACTCAAAGACAAATGCACTCATGCAAGCAACAGACAACAATGACGGATGACAGCAGATGGTGTTACATGGGTGGAAAACTTCAGAAAGGCTCAGCTTACAAAAACATTATTGAACTTGGATAAAAAAAAACAACAAGCATCAAGATAGCATTTCATCATGGCACATGCTTGGAACCGTAGAATTACAGAATCGATAATTACCGGTATCCCAAGAGCCCATGATTTAGCTGCAGTGATAACAGCATTTCCCACGCCATTGCGCCCATTCGCATCATCGCCAAATCCACCAAGGAGGTAGGCGCTCAGCAGCCACCCTGCAGAAGACCCAAATCCCTGAGCAAACCGTAACCATCCATTCGCGCGCCAGATGTACAGCAACCATGAAAAGGCCCCATTTCGGATTTTCCCTAACCAGCAATGAAGGGGTCAGCCGTCATGAACGTCTCGGCGTCGAGGACGGGAAGGCCATGGCTGAACCTCCCAATCGCGGAGAACAGCAGCAGGCAGAACACGTCCCCGCCGGCCAGAAGACCCAGCTTCCTGCGAACGAACGCGGAGCAGGAATCAGCGAACAGGGTCGAAGCAATGAGGCCACGAGAATGGGAAGGGCGCGTGGCGTGTGACAGGATAAGGTAGGTACGCGTAGGAGACGAGCTTGGACTCGGTGCCCGCATCCCCGGGCTTCTCAATCTGGATGACGCCCTCGAGCGGCACGCCGTCGTCGGCGACGCGGACGAGGACCGGGTCCTCGGTGGCGGCTGCAGCGGGGGCGGAGCCGGAGGGGCCCTCGCCCGCGGCGGCTGGGGTCGACGCGAGGCGGCGCGGGGCTTCAGCTTGGTCGGTGCCAGCGCCGGACAGCGCGAGGCGGCGGCGCACGAGGCGAGGGTTGGCGAAGAGCGGGTAGGGGTTGGTGGTGGAAGGCCCCGGCGGCTTCGACGGCAGCCGCCGCGCGGAGAGGGAGCCGTTCGCGGCCTGGCTGACGAGCAGCATCCTCGCAGGTGAGGAGGTGGGGAGGGAGCCAGGGAGGGAGGGTGGGATTTGCACCTGGGTTTGGGTGGTCTAAATTTTGCATTGTGACGGTCTTAAAATTGGGAGAAGGCAGCAGGGGGAGGCCAAGAGGTCGGAAGTCGGAACGAACCACGATGGTGTGGACGAGGCGGCGGCCGCGGCGGGCCCGGACAGTCGTTTGATCCGGAGCCGACGATGTGACACGGAGGTGTGTTTGGTCCGTGGAAGTCGTTGTTTGATCCGGAGCCGACGATGTGAGCCGACGATGTGACACGGAGGTGTGTTTGGTCCGTGGAAGTCGTTTGATCCGGAGCCGACGATGTGACACGGAGGTGTGTTTGGTCCGTAGAATGGAATCACACCAGGTGATGCATCATGTGTTTATCACATGAATTTCAAGTGAATCAATTTATTCCTCATACATATACTAATTAATAGCTTATGAGGAATAATGTGATGATAGATCAACTCATTTTTTATACCGAGAAAACTAAACACACCCAGTAAGTGAGGAATGGGAGGGGAGCCGTGTGTCCTAAAATATGTCCGCCCTGAAAAGTTAAAAAAAACTATATGGATACTCCATATCTCAATTTGAATATTTAATGTGCAACCATATCAAAATCTGGATACTCAAAATTGGATTTCTGATACCGAGAAAAACTATGAGATAACACGGGATATATGAGAAATATAGGATATCCATCTGCATCCGATCCGGTTTCATCCCCACCCCCACCAACCTTTGGTAGGTGGCCATGTTGTTTTATTATTCTTTCATCTCAGGACGGATTTCCAAAATAATTTGACTCTAATCAGTTTTCTCCTCATTTTTCTTTGGCTTCGACAAAGATGAGCTTTAGTGGAAAAGGCTAGGTACCTTCTAAATGAAATAATCTAGCTGTTCGGCTGATGGTTTGTGCAGCTGATAAGCCGTCTGAAGTTAATTTTACTGTAAGAGAAAAATATTGTTCCATGACTGATAAGTTCAAGTGAACAAGACCCACATTTGTTCAGGCCATTGGTTTGTGTAGATTTGGATCCAATACAAAATAGCTGTTTTTTTTATTTAGGATGGAAAGGGAGACAGCTAACACTATAGAAAAGGCTATACCATTTGCTGCATGGATTCTGCAGGAATTTATGACATCTGAATTTGAACTATTTTTAATTGCTGTACTGCAATATGAGACAATGAAGGGCCCCGTTCGGTTGGCTAAAACTTGGCTAAAAAATACTGTTTCAGCTGGTTTGTTATGAGAGAAAAACACTGTTTGGCTGGTTTGATGAACAGTGCCATGAGAGCGGATCAGCCGGCTGGCTGATGGGCTTCAGACCAGCGAACGCCCCCAAAACACACCATCAATGATAATACAAAATTTATGGCTCCACTCAGAAGCTGACGATTTGTTTAGTTGGACCCCAAAGTCCAAAAAATTGCTACAGTACCTGTCACATCAAATGTTTGCGGCCCGTGCATTGAGCATTAAATGTAGACGAAAATAAAAACTAATTGTACAGTTTGGTGAGAAATTGCGAGACGAACGTTTTGAGCATAATTAGTCCATGTTTGAACACTATTTGCTAAATAAAAACGAACGTGCTATAGTAGCCCAAAAATCCAAATTTACCCAACTAAACAAGGGCTGAATAACAGGAAATACGATTTCTGAATTCTGATGCCAATAAAACTCGAGCAGATTTCCTGAATAACGTTGGGACCAATGATCCAAATTTTGAAAGGCACAAAAGATAGCATGGATTTTATGTTACCGATATTTCTGGAAGTTCCAAACTTCCATTTCGAAGGAAGAGCCAGGACTTCGAACTTTGCTTTCAAATTGTACTAGCTGTATAATATCCAGATGTGCAGCGTACCTCAAGAACTACACAACCAAAGTAAATCATCAACTTGATACTTACAATGCACGATTCACAATGCAACAATTCAAAATAGATAACCATCAAGATATCAAAGTAAGGCTGTGTTTAGTTCGCGAAATGAAAATTTTTGGATATCACATCGAATGTTTCGGGGATGTCGGAAGGGGTTTTCGGATACTAATAAAAAAACTAATTACATAGCTCGCCTGGAAACTGCGAGACGAATTTATTAAGCCTAATTAATCCATCATTAGCGCATGTTAGTTACTGTAGCACTTATGGCTAATCATGGACTAATTAGTCTTAAAACATTCATCTCGCGATTTCCAACCAAACTGTGCAATTAATTTTTTTCATCTATATTTAATACTCCATGCATGTGCCGCAAGATTCGATGTGATAGTTTATGGTGAAAATTTTTAGAAACTAAACCAGGCCTAAGTCAAACATCTCAACATACAGTATACATGAAGCTTGGCACAATAGTATCTCACAGGTGCATATTGATGGAGAAGACACTTGCAGCAGACAATCTTGGAAGTTTGGGAATCAAAGTGCCGGTGCAGAAAATGATCAAACACGTAAATATTTGTGGTTTTGCTGTACGTTGTGATCGGATGTGACTTAGCACTCAATGACACAGGGTTTATACTGGTTCAGGCAACGTGCCCTACGTCCAGTTTGAGTCGGTCGGTGACTTTATTCCTAAGCCCAGGTGCTCAAAGTTTGCTGTGGGGTTACAAAACAGAAGGGAGAAAGATGGGGGTACAAGAGGTCCGGTCGAACTCTGGTTTGAAGGGCCGAGAGTGACGGGAGCTCCGCTACGTGCTAAGTGTTCGAGCGTGTGCTCGAGGTCTGAACCTAGTGGTTCTGCTGTTGTGTGCTAGTAAACTGATCGATCTTCCCGTTAGGAGAGATCGCATCCCCTTTTATAGATGAAGGGGATGGCCTTACAAGTGAGAGAGAGAGTGTGTACGTATGCTAAGTCTTGTTGCCCACGCCGTCGGGTACAAGATAATTGTAGGTGCCCATAACACTGTTATTGTCAGATTCATGTGGGAGGTTGCGTTGTCTTCTTCTGGTATGGCAGACGTCGGTGCCCGCCATACTGTTGATGCCCAGAGACGTGCAGGGGGTTTTATCATGTTCGCCTGGTACGGTAAATGCCGACGCCCACAACACTGTTGAGGCCCAGAGGCATGTGGGGGGAGCCTTACCGTGTTTGTCTGGTATGGGAGTTGATGGCGCCCACAATACTGTAGGGAAAATCTTGGCGCCTACAACACTGCTTGGGAAGGTTGCAAGGTACTGTCCTGCAGGTGTACATGGTACGGTCCTTGGTATTGCAGTTGACTTGAGTGCCCTGCCTTACTTTCTCCATCCTTTTCCTGGTCCTTACCGAGTGGGCGTCCCCGGTCGGTTGGTCCTAGTCGGCTCTGATTGCGCCAGTTGGAGAAGAGCTATGAGCAGGGGTTCGGCGCCTCCCCGGTTGAAGACGCGGGTCGGAGTCGGAAGTGGTGTTTGGCCAGGCCTTTCGGTCGGAGAGGCGGGCCAGAGTCAGAAGCGGGCGCTGTTCCTCCTTGGCCAGGCCTTTCTGTCGAAGACTTGGATCACCCATCTGGCTTGTCTTTTAGGTATTTGGACCAGCCCATGAGTTACGCGTCGTTCGCAACGTCGTCTGCTGGGTCGAGCCTTTGTTGGGAAGCCGTTTCACGAGGGACCTCGGGTTTATGAACCCGACATAAAGACATCAAAAATGCTTTCCAACAGAAGTAACTTATAAGAGCATCTCCAAGAGTTCTCCATATTTTGTTTCCCAACCCAGATGTTTGCCAACTCCCAAAATAAGTATAGAGAGGAAAAAAGAGGCCATCTCCAAGAGTACCCCATATTTGACTTCCAAAATATCAAAATTGTGACCCCACACTATTTTTTCTATGCGGTTTTTATTTTTCCGTCGCGAGTCGCCGCCGCTTCCCTTCACGGTCCTACCGATCACCAGCCCACAGTAACCGACGGCAACCAGCCACGGCTGGCTCCCTTCTCCCTGCAGGTACATCCTAGCCAACCACCAGACACTGCATAGTACCATGCAGCAGGCAAGCACTCCAATGCAAACAAAGCTGCTGGCCGCCGGCCCTCAACACAAGCTAGCAGTAGACGAAGGAACACAGTACCATGCAACACAGGCCTTGAGAATTTATGCAGAAAGATCCATGACAGAGCATCGTCCTGCGCCTGGCGTCCGTGATCACCTACCGTCGCGTGAGCCCCCTGTTCACGCAGAACGAGGCCGGCAAGGGCTTCATCGTCGCCGTCGTGAACGCCGCGAGCGCTCTAGGCCGCAGTTCGACCTGTTGAAAGGATCTAAACAATGCCTAGAGGAGGGTGAATAGGTGTATCTAAAAATTTCTACGTAATCTCAAAGTCAAATATCAATGATAGTCGGAAGTCTTGACAGTTTGAGCCGGGACTTCCGGCACCCGAAAGTTCCGACGCAAACAACCGGGAGTTTCGGCACCTACGAGAATTGCACTACAAGTGCTAGAACAAACTTTGAGTGAAAAATATCTTACAACCCCACTCCCTAGTGGTAAGGTGAAGTGTTGGGGTTACTTATTTGACGTCAGAAGGTCACCACTTCGTAGATCGAGTTCAAACCCTAAGAGGAGAGTTGGGGAGGAAGACAAACCAATAAGAACAAATATGATAGCACAAAAATCAACAACAACAAGCACGCAGGACACAAGAATTTATCCTGAGGTTCGGCAACCCCACAAAGGAGCTTCTACATCCTTGTTGTTGAGGTGACCACCAAGGTCGGAGTCTCTCCCACCTCCTTGCCTCTCTTAAAGCAACCACAAAGGTTACTTGAGCTTTTCACTAAGAAATCAAGGGTAATACAAACTTCCCAAGGCTCTTCCACAAGATGGAAGCTCTTTGGCGATGACTAGCTAGCTAGGATTATAAGAACCCAAGAGTAATAGACGCAAATCTAACCGGCTTGACGAAGAAATCAAGTGCTCAAACTTGCCAAAGTGATTCTCTCACTCAATCCACTCTCCTTTCACTCAAAACCCTAGGGGAATCAAAGATTG